ACTGTCAGAGGTCAGACGATGGTCATCCTTGTTATGGAAAAAGGCTTACGGTGTTAACATTTATGAGATGTATGGAGGAAAGTTTCTCTTTGAATTTCCCAACAGGAACATGGCAGAACAGACCTTACAAGAGCAATGGAATTGGAAGAACCAAAGGTTCAACCTGGAATGGTAGTTTACGTTGGTAGGTTGCACCCCCAACAACAGCCTGACAAAGGAATCATGGGTTAGAATCATTGGTATCCCACTCCATCTTTGGTCAAGTCAAATGTTCCAAGAAATTGGAAACCTTTGTGGAGGATGGGTAGCTATAGAGGAGGAGACAGAACTGAAGAATCATATGATGTGGGCGAGAATCTTGGTAGAAAATGATGGAAGAAACATACCCAGAGAAGTCTCTATCCCTAGGTATGGGGTCGTTTACCATTTCCCGATATGGGCGGGGAGAGTCACGTGAGATTTGAGGTGCTGCTGAAGTTGGGAAAGGTGATCCTGGAGCAGTTGGAGAAGAAAACAAGAGAAGTACAATCCCCTCCTTTACCTAGAGGTCCATAGGCTGCAAAGTCTGCAAAGCCTACAAAGTCTGCAAAAAGGGTACTCAATCTCTTATTTCAAGGGATTTCCCAGCTGGAGAACATGTGGGTGGATCATGGCTCACAGCTGGCAATGAAGAAAGAAGGGAAGCATGTGAGAGGCACATGCCCCATTTAAATGAGGGGGAAATATTGGGCCTCCATCGGCAGCCCAATACAAGGAAAAGAGTTTCCAGAAAACTTGGGTCTGATTACTCAAGCCAAGTGATTTTCAATGATATTTTAGGAAAGACCCAGAAGATGAAAACTCTAATATATCTCTTGATTTTCTTGAACCGCGACACTGTCGAGAAACAAAATATATGTCAGATGAAATTCAAGTTAGTCACATTGAATGTAAGGGGACTGAACGATAGGGACAAAAGAAGATTGGTTAATAGTGTGATGGAGGGGTGGAATGCAAATATCATTTGTCTGCAAGAAAACAAATTAGAGGGAAATATGGAAGAAAAAGTTGGACACATCTGGGGAGGTAGATGGATCAAATATGCAAGTTTGGAGGCTAGTGGAACCAGAGGGGGAATTTTAATGTTATGCGACAATAGGGCCTGGAAAGGCAACATTGTGGAAACTGGTATGTACACTTTGACTTGTAAATTTGAGTCTCAATTGTATAGCTACTCTTGCCATATCACAAGGGTGTATGCCCCTAATTGTTATATAGAAAGGTCTGTTTGGGAGGAAATGGGGGTTATAAGGGGAATAATAGAAGGACCTTGGGTTGTATGTGGTGATTTCAATGTAGTAAGGTTCATATCAGAGAAAAGAAATTGTGTGAGAAGAACTAGAGGCATGAAGGAATTTTCAGATGTTATTGAAGACCTGAAATTGTTAAGCTACAGCTAGAAGGCAACAATTACACGTGGTTCAAAGGGGATAATCTCGAGGCAGCCTCTAGAATTGATAGAATTTTGATATCTGAAGAGTGGGATGACAACTTCAATAACACAAGGCAAAATGCTCTATAGAGACTCATATCAGACCACAGTCATGTAGCATTACAAGGGGGTGTATGGAACAAAAAGAAGAACCACTTTAAGTTTGAAAACTGGTGGCTTGGCACATAAGGGCTCACTGATAGAATCTGGTGGAATTCTTTTAACTTCTCCGGGAGACCTAACTTTATTCTTGCTTCAAAACTTAAGGCTCTAAAAACCAAACTTAAGGATTGGAGCATGAGTGAACAAGGGAATCTAGGATCTAAAATGAGAGTTCTTCTTAAAAAACTATCTAAGTTTGATGAGATCATGAAGGGCAGAGGATTATCAGAATGGGAGATCTCAAGCAAGAATTCAACTTTACTAGAATATGAGTTACTAAAAATGAGGAAATCTCATGGAGGCAAAAATCCAGATCACTATGGCTCAAAGAAGGGGAAAGGAACACCAAGTTCTTCCACAAAATGGCCAATGCTCACAAAAGATACAATAACATCGATCAATTGGTAATAGAAGGGGAACTGTCTCAGGATCCTTCAAGAGTAGAAGGGGAAATTGTAAAGTATTACAAGAAGCTGTACACTGAAACAAACAGTTGGAGACCTGCTTTCAGGAGCAACAATTGTCCCACACTTAATGAGGAGGAAAAAATGCATTTACAAAGAAATTTTGAGGAAAGTGAAGTTCTAAACTGTTTGAAGATGTGTGCAATCGGTAAACCCCGATGGCTTCACTATGAGATTCTTCCTTAAATGCCGGGAGGTGGTGAAGGGTGATATCATGAAAACTAATCAAAACTTCTATGATCAGGATGTTTTTGAAAAGAGTTTGAATGCCACCTTCATAACCTTGATTCCTAAGAAGAAAGGTGCCAAAGAATTGAAAGACTTCAGGCCTATTAGCTTGATTGGAGGCATCTACAAATTGTTCGCCAAAGTTCTCACAGAGAGAATGAAAGGGGTCATGGCCAAACTAGTGGATTCTCAGCAAATGGCTTTCATCAAAGGTAGACAAATCATGGATGCGGTATTAATTGCTAATGAGACTGTGGACTCTAGACAGAAACAAAAGAAGCCAGGAATCTTATGTAAGCTTGACATGGAGAAGGCATATGATCATGTAAATTGGGAATACATGTTGAATACTCTGGAGAGGATGGGTTTTGGAAGGAAGTGGGTCCAGTGGATCAAACAATGCATCTCCACAGTGAGGTTTTCAGTCCTCATTAATGGATCCCCTGTCGGATTCCTCAGTGCACAGAGGGGGCTTTGACAAGGAGACCCCCTATCTCCTTTTCTGTTTTTAATTGTTATGGAGGGTCTGAATAGCATGATTAAAACTGCAAAGTTGAGGGGATGGTTGAGTGGTTTTGAGGTTGGCAGAAATGGAGATAACAGTATGGAAGTGACTCATCTGCAATATGCAGAAGATACTCTTTTTCTATGTGATGCTGAAGAAGGCCAACTCAAGATTTTAAGGGTGATTTTGGTGTTTTTTGAGGGGTTCTCAGGTCTGCACATCAACCGGAGGAAAAGCTATTTGTACCCTATCAATGAAGTGCAAAACATGGAGTATCTAAATGCAATATTGGGTGGGGAAATAGGTGTTTTGCCAACAACATATTTAGGGATGCCTCTGGGAGCTAGTTCTCAATCTTATGAGATCTAGAGCAAGGTGGTAGAAAAGTGTGAGATGAAGTTAGCAAGGTGGATATTGCAATATCTGTCCAGAGGTGGGAGACTTACTTCGATAAATTCCGTCCTTGATGCCCTCCCAACTTATATGATGTCAGTGTTTCCAATTCCACAGATAGTCATTGACAGATTGGACAAATCAGAAGAAAGTTTTTGTGGCAGGGAAATAATGAGAAAGAGTTATAGCCTGGTCAAATGGGATGTTGTAACAGTGGGTAAGAGACAAGGGGGACTGGGTATTAAGAACTTGAAAAATCAGAGCAAGGCTCTCAAAATGAAATGGTTGGGGAAGTTTTGCAATGAAAATCAATCCTACTGGAAGGAAGTCATTAGTGCAAAGTATGAAGGGGAAGATTACTAGATGACCAAAACTGTTACTACACTTTATGGAGTAAGTGTATGGAGGTCCATTAGATCCTTGTGGGATGATTTCAAAAATAAATAAATACAAGGATCAAAGTGGCAAATGGGGAAAGAACTAATTTCTGGATGGATGAATGTATGGCATGAGGCTGGCAGGCTAGAAAATTTGTTTCTAGATATTAGTACCTTAGTGTCACGCACAAGTCCATAGTTGATCACTGGTCTCCTCAAGGGTGGAACTTCATTTTAGAAGACACTTAAATGATTGGGAGATTTAGAGAGTTGCTGATTTTTACGACACCATTGGTCCACTCAATGGATTGGAGGGTGGTCAGGGTACTTTATGGTGGAAGGGCAACAAAACATGTATTGTCAAGGTGAATTGTGCTTATAACTGGTTGAACAACTCCTACCAGTTGACAAGTAACTGGCCTTGGAAAGGAAGCTGGAAATCCAAAATACCCCTCAAAGTATCATGTTTGTGTGGTTATTGGCTAAGGAAGCAGTTCTGACCCAAGACAACCTAATGAAGAGAGGGATTCCATTGTGCTCAAGGGAATGTCATGGTTCATGCCAAGCAAGATCACTGAAGCCATTCAGAGTTGGGAAGAAGCTGGAATGCAGTCTAAGAGCATTGTCCCTGCTAGCATTTGGTGGGCAATATGGAAGGAGAGGGATTCCAGATGTTTTGATAGTATAGAAAACAATATGCAAAATGTCAAACTTAATTTCTTGTTGCTACTGTGTTTTGGTGTAATCAATTATACTCCAATGACACTATCTCCCTAATTAATGTACTAGACTCAATTTACGATCAGATAGCTGGATTTGATGATCTTATTGTAAATATGGCTCAGTACTGCCTATGTACTGTTGTAGTAATATTCAAAGTTACCTGTTTAAAAAAAAATACATAATAAAGATGGAGAATTGAATTCGAGAATACCCAAACAGGATTTGATAATTTATTGGTTCAAGAGAAAAATATTAGACTGATTGATTGACAGTTGCAAGAGAAAGGAAGAAAAAGGTTGCCTTGAGAAAGAAAAAAAGAAAATAGAGTGTGAGTTTGAGAGAGAAAAATAAAAGCGTACTTTCAAAATCTGAATGGTATTACGACTCTTTCACAGATATAATTCGGTCAGATGCATTTGGACCTATTAAGAGATATTTTTTAAGTAAAACAAAATGCACTTAATGGGCTTAGGTCTGAATCATTAGATGCAGACCCCCATTAAATGCAAACTAATGAGGCCTAAATAACATAGAGTCTAGCTAACTACTACTTTGGTTATACCACAGATGAGCAATAAACTGATGTGCCTCGAGGCAAGCATGAGATATGTAATTTAAGAGTAGACACAACCTCAGCATCAGGCAGTGAAAGAGAGCACAAACAGAAATCGAGGTACCTCTACAGATAGTATCTTAGGTGGAGGATCAACAGGCCGATCATCCTTGCCGGTTTCAACTTCACCCAATGTAATAAGATTATATATTGAATCCCCAGTTACCTGCAAATAAGGGAATGAAGCTTTAAATTTACTGAAATAAGTTAAAGTTTTGATAAGATGTAGTATGCTTGTTGTAAGGAGACGAGTTGGTTACTTTTCCAAAGATTGTATGCTTCTTGTCGAGAAAGTCACAACGATCCAAAGTCATAAAGAATTGACTTGCATTTGAATTTGGTGTGCCTGCTCCGGCACATGCCACCAAACCCCTATGTTTGAATCTTAAACGGGAGTGAAATTCATCAGGAAACACACTACCATATATACTTTCACCACCTGCATGAGTTCATGGAAATCACCTTTACCGATGCATGCTAAAAGAAGATATAAGAAACCAAACTAATGATAAACTCAATAAGTGAGACCTTTCAGTGAAGTTGACATTCTTCATTTCATTCCACACTGAAAGAAGATTTTATCAAAGATCTAGACAATTACCGCAAGGAACAGAACATAAATAATGCCATTAGATAAGTGAGGACAGTGTCCATTCTTGGAGCTTAATCTTTTCTCTTTAGATGGGCCAAGTGTCCATTCTTGGAGCTTAATCCTTTCTCTTCTTTTTTTTGAAATTGATAACTTTGTGTATCTATAAATGATTAAGATCAAGCAGTACATTGGTTGAAAGAGGATTACGAAAAGTTTTTATTTTTTTTTATAACGGATGTATCTGGACTACTTTGCGGGCACTCGACTATTTCACCAGGAACCTACTATCTTCTACTAGTACATGTACCGAGTAACTCTAATAACAAAGGCTTAAGCAGATGAACAGAAATCGCATAGTATTGCTGGGATTTATACTCTGACCTTCAACGTTTTTACCCACTTTATTGACTGCTAGACCACACCCTTGGGTACAGAAAAGATAATTTTATGTCAGGATGCAGTAGCTTGAGTTGGAGTGTAGGAAAGACAAAACAAGGGTTTGGACAACCCTCAAAGTACAACTATTAAAGAGAAGCACAACCCAAAAGTATTTGGAAGAATCGAGAAATACTTTTCCTGAATCCAAAACATTTCTCTATTTTTTCATCTATCTTCTGAAAACAAAAGAATATCATCAGTAAACAAATGAACTTGTGGAGAGCGGAGACTATAAGGGGTCGTTTGGTAGGAGGTATTAGGAGAAATAGTCCATGTATTATGTATGGTATTATTAGTACTATGTTTGGTAGAATATTTGGGCCTAAGTATAACTATACACCCTACATGGTATTATAGGTGGTATTAGAAATACATTGGATTTAATACCATGGGATTATCTATGTAAAGACAAAAATATCCCTCAAATCATTTTAATAATTTTCTTGATTTTATATTTGTACTAGATAATTTATTTAAATAAATTAACTTACAAATTTTATTATTTAGAGAGTTGTTTGTTAATAAATAAATGCAATACATATCAATACAATATTTAAAATGTGAGTTCTTTAACATTTACTAATTGAAAAGACAAATATATCACCACATTACGTTTGTGATCTTAATTTAATATATTATTTGTTGATTTATATGTGGTTTCTAATTATTTGTATTTTGAACAATTTATAAATTGCATACATATTAAAACTACAACTTGTAATTTTTATGTGTAAATGTAGATGATATATTTGATTTTACTATTGTTTACCATCTTTTCGGTTTTAAAGTAGATGGTCTATCTATTCTAAATTGAAAATTAACATTTTTTTAAGTGATTAATTTATTAAGATAACAATTGTTTACCCTCAAATAATTCAAGTGAGAAAATTGCAAACATGACAACAAAATTGTTTCTCCTAGCTAGTTAGAAGGTCATAAAAAAATAATATTGTCCCGGCAATTATCTACCTTGATCGATTACATAAAATAGAAAATCTCATAATAATGCAAGGGTATAATTGGAATAAAGTTTTTTGTAGAGTTTTAATCCAAACACAAGATGAGGTCAAAAGCAATGAACTAAACACTTGATAAAAAATATACCCTGCATTACTAATCCCAGCACTACTTATCCCTGCATTACTAAGCCATGCGTTATTTTCTTTCCACCAAACGACCCCTAAAAGTTTATAGGTAGTGGTCTACTTTTTTGTACTGATTTTCCCACTTTTTACAAATGAATAAGATGTAGTAGAAAAAATATTTAACACCAATGATATCCTTCCCATTCAGAAAAAAATGGAAACCCCGACCAAAATATGCACCCACATTTTGGTGGGTTGTTTATTGTGTTTCAATTATTGCACTATTTTATTGTTGTTGTTACTCCCTTCTGGTAGACTTTACATTATTTTCTTGTGATGTGCTATATTTTCTTCTTTATATTTGGAATAGTTGCATCTGAGCCGAGGGTCTTTCAAAAACAACCTCTCTACCTCAGTGTTTTGGAGAGCAAGAAGCGGAAAAAGCGACGAGGGCTTGCTTCACCGAAGCATGAAGCGAAGCACACACTGTTTTCTACTAAAGTGTTATTTAGTACAAAAATAATAAAATATTAAATATGCATATATAAATAACCAAGAACTCAATAGAAATAACATACTAAGCAAATTTTTCAATCCTTAAATTAATAAGTAAATAAAAGATAGTCAATAATCCTCATAATCATAACATATTAAGAAAATGCAAAAAGCAAAACCAAATAAGTAAAAAAAACAGAGTATAACAGGGGAAAGAAAACCCTAGAAGTAGTCACTGAAAGGGAGTCCAGAGAAGAAGAAGAAAAGAGAGGAGGAACTTATCGTTTGAGTCGCAGCAACAATGTTGAGATGCTCGAGTCACAGAAGAAGAAGAAGAAGAGGGAAATGTTTGAGTCACAACAGACAAGTGTGTTTTACAAAAGTTTTTTAAAAAAACTAACAGCACTTCAACCCGCTTTTTGTCGCCTTTGCTTTAAGCGCGCTTCTCGCTTCGCCTACTGAAGCACTCGCTTTTTTAGGAGCGCCTCGCTTCAGAGCATAAAAGCGCAGTGCTTGCGCCTCGCCTCGCGCTTTTTGTCGCTTTTCACAACACGAGGTAGTGGTAAGGTCTACGTATATTCTACACTACCAAGACCTCGCTTGTGGGATTTCACTGGGTATGTTGTTGTTGTTGTTGGGACATAAAAATTAGAAATAAGTATAAAGATGTTTACCGATATAAAATAGGGAGAAGAGATTTTTCAGCCTATCGCATATCTGAGATGGTTTAATGGTCTTCTTTTTATCAAGTAAGAGTATTTTCATTCCTTATCAAAAAAAAAAAAAAAAAGTAAAGAGTATTTTCATTCATAAACATAGTCAAACTGGCCCTATACAAGTAAAAGACATTTATAGGTAAAAGTATTCATTGATAATAACAAGGTCAACATGGCCTTATACAAAAAAGGATAAACCTACAAAATATGGTTCCCTTTAAAAGACACCGGATCATATAAACAGGAACTACGTGGTTGCACCAAAAGAAAGGATCGAAGACTACCTCTCAATTGAGCAAAGCTCATCTACACCCTTTCAAAAGTTCCCTCTCTTTCCAAACGAACATTAACTCAAGAGGAGTAATGTTATGCCTTCTTCTAGCTCCACTCTTCTAGTTGAACATCAATTCCATAGATATTGGCATTACCCAAGAAATGCCAAACCATCTGAGTATATCCCCTATTTGCAAAGGAAACACCATCTCAAGCCGACAACCATTCGTTTTCTAAGAGTCTGCACCATCAAAATCACCCTTCTAGTAGCTAACCATGTGAAGAAACTCACCTTCCTCGATACCTTAGGTAACCAAACCAAACCATATGGAAACCTCTCCTCCGCCCTAACCAGGAGTTTCTCATAAAAGGACTTAACGAGAACACTTTGTTATTCCCCCACTCCAAACTCAAAGCATCAAATTTGCCGACTTGCTTACACTTCCCCAAAATACTCATCCTATTGTGACCCCCTAAATTGTTGATCAAACTTATCCCTTTGGAAAGATACCTTATACAAAATCGGAAATTCATCCTTAAGCACCAAACTTCCACAACACTTATGCCCCCAAAAATTAACTCCCAACCCCGACCTTAAAACCAATGTCGTCATAAAAGGCTTCCCCCTTCATAATATTCCTCCACACACCACACCCGAAAGGCATGGTGATCCTATTTGATCTCCATCCCCTTCCGTATTTATCCACTATCACCTTTCTCCATAAAGCATCTCCCTCAACCCCAAATTTCCACAACCATTTACCCAAAAGTGTTTTGCTAAATTCCTTCAATTCCTTAATCCAAAGCCCTCCATGCTGTTTACGAGAAGTCACGATCTCTTATCGAACTAAGTGAAACTTCTTTGCTCCATCCGCCACATCCCAAAGAAAATTCCTTTGCAACCTTTTCTAGCTTCCCTATAACAATAGTAGGAGGTAGGAGCGATGAACAGGGACATGCAATATGTAGGAATACTCTATAAAATGCTTATACTAAGCACTTCCTCGCCTCCTTTGGAAAAATATCTTTTTTGCCATACCTCTTCTCTACCCTCTGAATAACCGGATTCCAAACACCAAGATCCTTGTTCACCACGCCTAGAGGTAAACCAAGGTAGGTAGTAAGAAGAACCCCAACCCAACATTGTAGAACTTGGGCAAGCAAATCAATGTTATCCACTGCACCGACAACAATGATTTTGCATTTTCTGAGGTTAATTTAAGCCCTAAAGGAGATCTCATCCTACTACCCCTTCCACCATCCAGTAAGATAGGAAAATGATCAAAGCCCAACGCAAAAAAGGGGATTAGATCACATTTGGGTCCTCACAAGAAGTAGACACAAGGAATTTGTCCAACCGAGATTTGGAAATTGAACCTCCGACTTGACCAAGTGAAATTGGAACCTAGCAAAGGTATACCATAAGAAAATGATTATCAATAAACTCTGGAAACTCCTCAACAGCCATGGATATCACCCAACAACCTAACCTTTCCTCCGAAAATCTTACAATACTAAAATCCCCCAACATTCAAGGAATCTCCCACCTCTCCACACATGTTGTTAATTCCTCCCAAAAGGCAACCTTAGATCCCTCCCCTACTGGTTTGTATACAAGTAATATACCAAATGGTAATCTACAAAGTCCATCCAATCCTCTATACAACAAGGAATTTTCTGATTACATGAAAAAGAAAATAAGGGAATGAAGACTAGTTTCCAGAAAAAATAAGGGAACAGAGACTACACCTCAACTCAACTGCGAGAAACTCGACTCTACCTTCAAAAGCTCTCATATTTCTCTCTCTCCACACCACCCACATTAACGCAAACAAAACCACCTTGTAGTATCACCAATACATAAATTACAATACCATGTCACTTATTCTCGTTTAACTAATAGCTACATTATTAATTCCTAGACTCTGAACCAAACGGCCCCTATCTTGCTTATGCGGAATTTTATGCAAGTATTATCACCCATTATACTTCAAAAACCAAAAGATCATTTACAATTTCAGTTCACGCACTAAATAAATGAAATGCATGAATAATGTTTCAAGTTCCTAAGAAGCCTAACCTCCAAATAGCCCTTCTAGTAATTACTAATTATCATCAAATGTTAACTATTTGAGAAGTCTAATTACATAACTAAACTCCGGTTAGCCCTCAGATCGTAAATTAAATCAAATATTCACCATTTTCAAAGTCCAACTACACAGAAAAATTAGGAAATTCAAAGTAAATCAGCTTTAAACAACATCAAATCCAATTGATAACTGAAATAAACTAAAAAAGGTTATTTTTGTTACCAGTGCCGGTGCCGGTAGGGTCACCACCTTGAGCAAGGAAAGATTTGATAACACGATGAAAAATGGTATTATCATAGTAACCTTCGAGACACAATTGAACAAAATTCCTTACAGCTTTTGGTGCTTCTTTTGGCCATAGTTCTATATCTATTGGCCCATACGTCGTGTTAAGTACGACTTTCCCCTTCGTCGGCGGTTCCAAAACGTACACTGTCGACATTTATGAAGGCTTTCTTCTTTCTCAACTCTGCTCCCAAAAGGAAAACGTTCAATTGTTGGGTGCTCAAAACTCAAATACGTCTTCGAAACGACGTCATTTGTTCCCAGACCTTTCTTATTTTTTATTTCAGCCGATCTCATAAAGGTAGCGAGTTTACACATGTAGGCGTTCGGCTTTTCAGCCCCATTTTATTTATGAAATTAGTATACGTATCCGTGCAATATTTTAAAATATAATAATTTTTAAATTTAGAAATAACTAATACAAATTATTATGGAAAAATTGTATGAAATAACAAATTATTAATTCAAATTAAATGTTATAGCCATAGTTTATTTTAATTGAAATTCGCAGCAAACATTTCATTTTTTTGTCATCTGGTTCGTTATACAATTAGTCATTTTTGGTATACAAATGTATAAAATGTGTTTGTGTTTGTATAAAGTGAGAGAAAAGTGAATATATAAATACAAATACATATATTTTTGTCTTATACACTTATAATTATACAAATACAGATCTTATTATACAAATTACAATGTAACAAATTAATTTATACAAAATTGAACAATTTGTATAAAATTGGATGTATCTAGCGAATTATACAAATCAAAAGCTCCATAGCAAACATAAAATTTGCTATGGAGCGCAATTATGCAAACTATAGATATAACATACAAATATGATTTTTATTTCTGCTGTATGTGAAAGTTGTTCTTATATTATTGAGTAACAAAAGTGCATGTACAGTCATATATAATGTTTAATTTTATATATATAATTAATGCTAATAAAAGTTTACCCTAATTTATGTGTAGTGAGTGTATGTTCTTCAAAGACACTAAACGTTATTCTAACAACTTCTCCTTCTGCTAGTATAATGAAGATTAATAGCGTATGTGGCGTGTGTTCAATTGATATTTGTGCTAATTAATTAAATTATAAATTCATAGATCAATCTAAAATCTAGTATTAAAATTTCTCTCTCTAATTTTAGCTAAAATTTAAATATAATCTATAAAGCATGTGTCACTCTTTAGCACACTCATCTCTCGTTAAATCCTGCAAAATAAGATGATTTTCATTTAATCTAATACAATTTCATAAAATAAGAATGTACAAAATACTGAATTTGAGTGATCAATTAAATAAAAGATACTATAATCAAATTAATATATACCACTTAATTTTTTTTATCAAATTAATATTATACCACATAAAAATAAATTATTTTCAAGGCAAAGAAAAAAAATGAAAGATGCAAAAGAATGGATCATCTTCCACTCCTTTGATTTACTATAAGCCTCTTCTTTTATTTTATGGATTTTTAGATTTGTTTAGCCTGTCTATATGTAGTAAATACCTATAACTTAATTATGACAAATAATTTTAGAATTTAGTATCAAAAACTTCTAAACTAATTTTATATAAATAATTAATATATTATTTTTAATAACAATTAGATAAAGTTTATAAGTTTTAAGCACCACCAACATGCTATTATGAGTATAACGTGAAAATATATATGACAGTTCATTTTAAATCAATTCTAATTCAAAATTTGAATAAAATACTATCAATTATTATTTTAGATTTAAATACATGTGGATAGATTTTATAAGATAAAGGAAAATTTAGAAAAGATAAGAAAAGTTGATAAAAATAAGAAATTAAGAAAATAAAACTTTGCAAGTGATCATCCATTTTACGAAAATCTTTTCAATATGTTAGGTTGCTAGAGAAATAATAACTACACCACAAATTGAGATCAATATATTTTAATTTCAAAATTAATCATCAATATAATTTTTTTTAAAAAAAATCATCTGATGTTAAGATTAATAAGAATAGTTGCAAATCATCTTATCACTAAAAAAGAATGTTGTTGAGATTAATACGTTACAAATCATCTATCATTAAAAAGGAATGTTGTTGAGATTAACAAAAATAGTTACAAATCATTTCCTCTGTATAACAAAAAAGGTAAGTTAAAATTATTATTTTTATTGATAAGTTTAAAAGGTTTAAGAAATCTATAAATTAATTAATAAGTAAGTTTACATGAAGTGGGATAGAAATGAGAGTAGTAGACTACGTGCATAGTTGATTTGTAATTCTTAGTATTTTTTAATTAATAAATTAATTTTTTTTTAGAAAGTCTGCAAATTATTAATAATATATAACTATTAGGTTTTGTTTTATGTGAGTGATTTTTACATAATTGTTTATCAAATTAAAATTAAAAATTTTTTGGAGATAATTTTCTTTAAAAAAAATACTGAAAATTTGAAAATTATTTTGACGATGACATGTGACATTATTTTGTAAAATACAGAATTCTAATGTTTTCAATCTATTCTTTTTAAAAAATGATGATTCGAAAAACATTTCTGTTGATGACATTTTTTTTATTTAATAAATACTAATTTATATTTAAAGTTTAATTTTTAAAAACTCAAATTTAATTTTCTTGATGATGTGGATACATGACACTTCTGCGTTTCCTAACGTATAGGTAGAAGATTAATTAATTAATTAATATATATATACTAGTTTTTCGTCACGTGTTGCACGTGAATATCAATTCAGAAAATTTAAGCGAAGATTTGAATAATAAGTTTTGCACAAAATATTATTGCAGATTCTTTTGTGAATGTTCAATGTGGTCATATATATCTCTTATTCACACGAACCTATGAAGATGGTCAATGAAAATTTTTATTAGTTAAATGCAATAATGTATATATTTATTTCAATTTGATGAGGTTCAATCATGTAATTAGTCGTATCTCAGTAATATTATCTTATAGACGATATTTATTGTGTACTTTTCTTGTCATCTAACCAGATGTGCTTTGCACGTGTATTCCACTTAATCCGTTTAGATGTCATATGAACATATGGAGAACAACTACATTTTATTTTTTTAGAACTATTTTTGTATATTAATTTTTTATTTTATAAGTTATAATATAATATATGACGTTCTTTTTGTTGGCTCTTATATTTGACTTCTCGATTGACAGAGTACATAAATCAAAGATATATGACTGTCCATAGTTAATTGAGAAAGGTTTCCTTCTCTTTCTTTTTTTTACCAAAAAAAACTAAAAATTAAAATTAAAGAATATATTCTATGTTTGAAATTATATATATAATCCATGTTTATCTTACACTCAACAAAGATATAACACATATACTTGTAAACAATTTTCAATTTATTCAACCAAGCATGTTTTGCATTAATGAAAAATATTTATCTCATAAAAATTAGCAATTAAATAAATAATAAAATTAAACTAATACAAACTTCAACTGACGTTAAGTCATATGAACTTTTCTTTGTCGAAAATACTGAAATATTAAGAAATAGTAAATTAGTAAAACAAAAGGGCAATGTTTACATAGTAATAACTAATTTGAAGCAAACTTCTTGACAATCTAAATTACATAAGTAGCATTGATAAATAAAGTCATCTTTTGTCTTGAGCATCAAAAAAACAAATCGTGACAATTCTCTAACTCTTGAAAAGTTTAATAATTTTGGAAAAAGATATTCAGAAACATATATCTACATCACAAGAGAATTTGTTAACAAAAACAAATGAATTTAGACGACAATAAAAATTAAACTACTACAAACTTCAACAGGGTTATTACAAGTCATATGGAATTTCCTTCGTCGAAAATATTGAAATACTAAGAAATAGTAAATTAGTAAAACAAAAGGGCAATGTTTATCTAGTAATAACTATTTTGAAGCAAACTTCCTCACAATCTAAATCACATAAGTAGCATTGATAAATAAAGTCATTTTTTTGTCTTACGCATCAAAAAATAAATTTGTAACACCCCGTAATTTAGTGAGTTGAACTAGTGAGTTCTAGAGCCTTTGGTAAGAGTTTTGGAGTGTCGTATGAGGGTTAAAACTTGTAAAAATGGTTCCCGTACTTAGAATAGGGGTTTTAGGGATTAAACGTTCGGGTACGACTCCCAAAGGACCACCCAAGGGGTCCTTGAGGAGGACCCCAAAACAATCCTTAAATCTGGAAAATTTTGGTGAACCACGAATGGCCAACCACGGTGCTGCCGATTTTTAAGATTTTCAGTTCTAGTTAGGTGTTTGGGAATTAATTAGGTAATTAATTAAGGGTTACGGTAGGTCGGTTAGTTAGTTAATTAATCACCTATATAAGCTAATAAGACCCTAAACTAAGTCATTAATTCATTATAATCCAAGACCCCAAATCAAACCCAACTACTTTCTCCTCCAAGAATCTTCTCTCTAGAACCTCCATTGAAGAACCCAGAAGAAACCAAGTTAGAGCTTCAAGATGGGAGCTTTTCAATATGAATTTGGATGAATTCTACACCTAAGGTATGGGAGTTTTCATCCTTGGGAAGCTATCACCCAAGGAGCCCTTTCAAAAGCTTTTAATGCAATTCTATAATCTCCAATAAAGCTAGGGTTTCAACTCAACCCCATGGATTCCTTTCAAAGTTGTTCTTAAAGGTTGAATTATGTTTGTTATTGATGATACTACTGATTTTAAATGATTTTAACTCGAATTCTAAAGAATCCATGAGTTTTCCCCAATCCTAGCTATGATTCTTTTTTACATTATGAATGTTATTGCAAGTTGATCCAATTGATTGGATGTGGGTTGATTATGATGTAGTTGTATGATTTTAGTATAATTCTACATGTATTCTTGATTAACCTAAGATTCTAGGGTGAAATTGATATAGCCTAGGGTTATGTCATGAAAGAGGCAAATTGAGGGCTTAGATGTGACCTTCTAAAGTTGATGAACTTCTTGATAAATTGCATTAGATTAAATCACCTAAACATGAATTGCTTATGAGTGAATCTTTTAGACATGAATGAACTTGATTAGGTCTTACATGATGAATCATGGTTGATTAGTATTGAGATTTAGTTTACTTGATGCTATATGACTATAATTGAGTTTGACTGAAGCATGTGGTTAGTCTACCTTGAGAATTAGGTTTACATGATGACCATGTGAGGTGTTGCTTGAGAGTAATGCTCATAATATGAAGATGACTCCTAAGGCTTTAAAGTTAAAATCTAAAGGGAATGAACTATGAATATTGAGGCTTTAAAGAAGAAAGTTATTATGCA